CTAGAAAATGAAAATTGTAAATTAGAATGCATCAGAAACACTCTGGTGACGTGCAGTAAGTGCAACCTTCCAAAAACAGTGTTTGATCAGATGAAAGTTGCATCATTTTACAAAAGTATAGATTTTGCAATAAATTCTGAAGTCTGGGGTAGATCATCAAATGTCAGTAGAAATGAGTTGGTGGAGGTGTTCTGCCCTCACTGTGGCAGTCAGTCCCCATCACAGACGCTCCACTGCAGCAAACACAGATCAGCGCTGAGTCCGGTCACTGTCCGTCTGTTGAGCTGCAGCAGTTCGGCTACTTGTGTAAAAGCTGCAGTTTTCTCACCATCCTCGTGCTGTCATACTTCTCTGTAGGTCATCTTTTACACTTCATGTTGGCTTCGACTAGAATAAGAGACGAAAGGGTTAGTGGTGGGTTCAGATGCAGAATGCACTGATAGCGCATGTGTGCTAACGTGCACAGGCTTGTGCAAACATAAATACGGGTGACGCTGATCGTGTCGCAGGTGCACGATTATCATTCATCATAAAGGATAACTTTGCAGAACAAGTGCTATAGCACGGACCAACTCAGGAATGGTGCTTTTCTTTTATCCAGCAGAAGAATCCTCATAACTCTACTGACTCTTTGACTGTCCCGTTTAAACCAGCAGCAGCTTGAAATGATCGCATCACATTAAAATAACTCGACATTTTCTGGATGGATTGGCACAAAGTTTTCAACAGATCATCATCGTTCCTGGCTGATGTATTATAAGGATGTCGGGGACTTTTCCTCTTTAATCTCAACGCGCTGGGCCTGTCTAGCTATAAAAAGCTGACGTAGACATTCTGCTCCCGTTATAAGGACCTGTGATATCAGTGAAGGTCTTTCCTGCTCATCTTGTGCCACAATCAGGACACAATGTCAATTTGTCCAATATTTGTTTTATGCTCAAATTTCTGGATGCCAAATATTTCAAGTACACAGGGAGGTTGATCAACTGGAAAGAAAGTTGGACAAGAAATGTTATTGAGGCAGTTCTACTTGTGCTAGAAGGCTAGACTCACTGACTAATTCACAAGAACGACATCAGCTGGTGACTTGTTCTCCAGTCTTCCAGTCAATCTTTGCATCTGTCCAGGTGGCTGTTCAATACTGTGTGAAGGTCTTGTGCACAACGGAATGTGACGCAGAGAGTTTCCATCACAGCCTGGTTAATAGCATCGTGTCCTCCTCTGATGCAGACACGTGATGGTACACTGAACACTGCTGACACACAGTTCAGGCCAAAACTGCTCATAACATGCCACTATTTGATTTGTCATGTTTTTTTTTTTCCTTCACCAATAGATTTCTTCTGGCTAGCAACTGCCAAAAAGATATTGACACATTGTGTTGGAGGTGTTCGTGATGAATTTGAACAATTTCTATACAATTCTGTTTAAATTGCCAAGTTCTAAATGGTTTACACTCCTTGAAGCTGTTGTCAGTTTGGGGGTAAAGCAGCCTTTACACCATTCACTTCACATGATGCTGTAGTGCTTTGAAGGCGTGCTCACTGGTGTAATCCTGCGGTGCCATGGGCCTTGACGAGACCTTCCTGAGGGCCTCCAGCCACTCTCTCTGCTCCCTCTCCTGCTCGCACATGAAGACAAACTGTCGCTCGGGCGTCTCCACCGAAACGCCGCACGTCCACCTGTTTCCTCGAGCATGCTTCGGGACGCACGCCTTCACCGAGTAACCGCTGCTCTCTGTGCCGATGAAAATCACCCCCAGCTCCTCTGCATCCTGCAACAATTAAAACACCAACACATTCAGACATAATTCAAGGACTCACAGCCGTGTACTGCACGGGCTCGGAACAGGTTTTTGTCCTACCAGCTGCCCTTTGAAGTAAAACAGTTTCCGATTCTGAGAGTCCAGAGTGAACCACCTCTTCCTGAATGGCTCCTTCTGCTGTGTGGGAAAACACATCTGACGTCAGCACTGCATAAAAAACCAAGTGTACATTTGAACATTTCACTCCTCCTATCACAACAGTCAGTTCTTACCAACATTTTCATGCACGGTTGGTGTGTGTGAATGAAAGAGGAACAGAAACACAAATGCACTCCTCAGACTCACTACAGCTACAAACACAAACAGGGAAAACTCGACTTGAATGCCTCCCTCAATATATGCATAATAACCTAAACAAAAGTGCAGATGAATCTCACGTAGCAGCTTTTGGTTCTTCAGTAACTTACCAGGGGCCCAGTCTTTTCCATGTATCCCTCTTTGAGGTAGTTTCTTGTGATCTTTGGTATCAGCTGACGAAGACACACAGAAGAACACTTGATCAGCTTTAACTTATGACGGCAATAAAAGGAAAGTTTCCATTTGTATTCCTTTTCAGGATGCATTAACTGTGATACTCCTGCATTTAAAGTCAGCTTTTCTACTTATTTTGAAAGGTTTGCCATTACTTCTTCATTGCTCCCAGTCGGGTACGCTGTCTTCAGGTAAGCATAGCGAGCAGCTCGGATGGCGTTGTACCATGTGACTATTTCCTGCAATGGAAGAAGAAAGCCTGAGCTCCTCCACAACCCCACAATCCCTGCATCAGTATAGGACCTACAGGTTGCTCTTATGAATGCAGTCCCACCTCAGCACTCTCGTGGTAAACATAGAGGTTCCTGGTGCGATCCTCGTCCTGGTAGGTGAACTGCAGCCCGTGAGGATGACCAATCTTCTGTGGCTGAAAGGTGGCGTTCAGGTCCTTTATGGAGATCACAGCTTTAGGGCCTTTGGACTCCTGGATCACAGACATACAGATTTCAGCGCAAGCATGAACAGAACAGCTGGATGGTGCTGTTTATACACTGATGTTTGCATATTTTATGAACAAAATATCCCAGTTGGTTATTTCGACTGTACAGTGCAGCTTAACTGTGTCAGAGCTGCAGGAAACTCACATTTTCCTTGTTGTAGTACATCAGCGTAAATTCCCTCTCTGACAGTACGAACTTCCTCTTCAGAAACTGTGTGTTCTCTTTCCCTTTCTTCCACAGCATCCCTTCATAGAAACCTGGTATCAGTGAAGCAGAACCAGTAAGTCACAGGATCAGGGTTGACACACACAGGTTGCACTTAGAGTGAAAACGTTTCAGTCACTCAGCCAAAACACCAGGATTGCAAAACGTGTTGCAAAGAGCGGCAAGTTTTCACTTCCTGGCTCCTTCACTATGCAAAGAACAGGCTTTTCTCGAACAGTTCTGCATATGTATGAGGAAACACATAGTTCAAATTATTTCTGCACCAACTGCCAGCCAGAGATATGTGCACCAGCGCGAGCGGTTGAATCACCACCTGTGGTGTATGAAACTGGGGGGTACTTGGTTTCTCCCGTGAATTCCTTCCTCTCGTATTTAGCTCGAATCCACTGCTCTCTCAGGACGCTGCAGTTCAAGACAAACAGGCGGAAACCACAGTTATACAGTAAACAGTTGACATAGTCTGTAGTGGCACAACAAGAACATGGTTCATTCAACCGTGAAGCTGCAGAAATAGTCCAGATTTCACTTCTACACTCAGTAGTTGCACTTCTCTCTAATATTTGCGGTGCTGCCCCGTCAGCAGTCTGGTATTACCAAAAATCCCATCATGGAGACATAAAGAAAGTTCTTTAAAGCGCGTCACCATTCTGGAAAGTCACTCACTTGCAGTCACATTGCTGAGGTCGATAGTAGTACGGTGGCACGGCCTTCTCATACAAAGCCTGGGCGCTGGCATTACCGGAGGACTTCATGAACTTGCCAAGAAGCAACAAGACACACACACAGGTTACACGGGGCCACAGCCACCACAGCATTTCATCTGAGAACTACCGCAGCAGTGCTATCAGAGGCAGGTGCACGATAAAGCAGCACATACCTGCACTAGCTCGTCCTCCCAGAAGTCCAGCCGTATGGATTTGACCCGGCTGGAGAGGCTGCGGTGGATCCCAGAGCAGTTCAGACACACAAACACTCCCAGCTGGTAGGACGCCCAGTCTGGCTCTGAGGTGTGCACAAGGATTGCAAAGTGTTCAGAGCTTCAGTTAAAGTCATTTCTCCTTCATCCTGTAGAACCTCATCAAGTACTTGAGCTACATCAAGCCATCTCTTCTAGTTAACGTAAGTATACAAACGCAGTTGAGCCTAAATGGCCTCAGATCCCGTTAGAACATAAAAACACAACTTGAACTAAAATGATGGGTTGAATGAGTAAACAGCTGAGAGTTCACTTAACCCGTTAAAATATACATTAAATATGAAAATAAGTTAACAGGAAACAAAACGAGCGTTCAAGCAAACTTCCCAGGATGCACTGTTATACTTTTTTGTATTTCAAGAAAACAGACATGGGGAAGCTTGCATACATTGAATAAAGTTCTGTTTTTTTGGAATAATTAGAACAGGTATGACGGCGTCAGAACCGAGCTGAGCCTCATCATTTATGTCACAGCTTGTCTTTGTACCGACTTCAGTCAAAAATAGTTTGAGGAAAAACTCGTGAAAGGTAGAAAATGCATAAAGAGCGCCCAGTGAATAGTTGACTAAACCTAATATCTCAAGTTCACTGAACTTGTTTTCTCAATTTCCGTTAATTCCAGTGAGATAACTTGCACTCAGAAGCAGACTTGAACTCAGTAGGTGCAGTGAACACATTAAAGGCAGCAGAGGAACGTCCACAGAGGAGCTGAATTAACTTCAATATGATTTACAGTGTAGACGAGCCTAAATTAAATATCACAGCAACCCTTTATTATGAGGGCTCCACAGAGGATCTGAACTATTAATTATTTAGTTGTGACCTGTGTTTCCCTGTCCTGCCTGATGCTTTGCCTGTATTCTATGTTAACAAACCTCATTACAGCTACACACTAGACTGAACACACAGTAAACGTCATCCTGAGGCGTTTGGATTCTTCTCTCTTTCTATGACCTAACTGTGTGAGAAGCCTCCTGGTGGACCAGACGGGACCAGGAGCTCCGTCGGCCCGCTGCTGCTGCTCACCCGGCGCTCCGCAGTCCGCGCACCGGCTGTTGTCCGGCCGCTGCACCAGCTCCAGCAGGATCTTCTGGTTTTGCTTTGACATTTCGGTACAAAAACTCAGGCTCTCTTTTCAAACCACGATGGATCCGACGGTCGAATACCGGCATGCCGGTCACACGGTCCGACCCGCGGCCGACGGAGCGTCCAGAGGCTGGGACCTGCGACAGACGCGCCTGGAGGAGGGCTTCCTGCTGCGGCGCGTCCGGCGCTCCGGGGGAAGCCAGGACGCGCGGGCTCGTCACAGGGGCGGTCCTTCCTCTGTGCACGTGCTCAGTGATAGGCAGGTAAATGATGAACACACGCCTGGTCGCTGGTGCTTTCAACACTGAATCCTGGTGAATTCATCATTTACCCCAAGAATTCACAAAAAACGCTCCCTGACAAAGTGAAAACAGATTTTTTATAAAGTGTTCCACAGGGATCCGGAGTGGACCGAGCTTCTAGAGTCCAGACACGAGTCATCATTTAGTGAGGTCACAGCTTCTAGCTCCTTCAGAGGAGTCATGGGAGTCTTGGTGGCCTCCCTCACTAGTCTCCTTCTCCCAGTCATTCTTGTTTTACGGGTGGCCTGCTCTACTCAGCTGTACATGTGCCATATTCACTCCAAGTCTGAAGGATGGATTTAACTGGACTAGATACTCTGCAGCTCTAGTTACTTTAAAAATGAACATATTCGTAAACAAAACAAAGAATCTACAAAATCTGCTGTTTTGTTAGCAGTTCATAGAAGGTGAGCACTTATGACAGCATTTCTCTTCATTATTATTTTTTACCAACCAATCAAACCCATTACAATTACATTATAGTACAAAAACAATCATTCTAAAAAGTTCAAACTGAGCTGCTTCTCAGCCAGCAGCAACAGAGCAATCCTGCTCTCAGTATCTGAGCTTGAGAAACAATCTAACGCTATGATGTATGATTCAGCAGTCACAGGAGACGTTTGTCTGCGCTGAGTCAACTTACCGTCTTCTGTCGGTACATTTCCATGAAACCTATGTACTTCAACTGCAGAAACATTTTCAACCCTGTACGTTTACTCGTAACGTAGTACTTTTACTCTGGTGAAGGATGTGAATACTTCCTCCTCTACGACGAGATCACGTCAAAAGAGACCAACTAATTATTTAGCTGTGATAAACCTTTATTTGGTCACAACACAAAAACCACTATGAATAATGTCAATCATGTACATACAGTATGTAAGGCTGAAAAAAAATCACTGTGATGAATGTGAAAGTGGCATTTGAGGTTAACAAATGAAGTAGAGCTTTGTCCAAAGCTGCCTGCCTTTATAAACTGAACCAGGATCCTGAGCTGATCATTTACGCACAGCCTTTACAAACACAGATGCAAATTCTATTTTACATGTTAATCTCTTACAAATTATTAATCATTCACACTTGCTCCTGAAAAGCAATTTCTACAAGATAAAAACACCTTGCAAAATGCAAAGTCGTGATAAACGAGGCTACGAAACTACTGTACAAAAAAACGACACTCCAGCTCAAGATTACAAAAGTCATTTAAAGCTGACGTGACGCAGTCTCTCAAAGCACCAGGAGTTGTCAGGAAGCTGAGGTTGTTAGTTGTGTGCCTTTAAGCTCACAATACATCTGGTGTATTCAGTCATTTTCATGCTGGTTAACTACGTGGACAGTCGTTAGTGCACACCCCTGTGATGAGTTAGCATCTCAGACAGCCACAAAACAAAAGGCATCTGTCAGACTCAACCTACTCCCATGTGCCTCCTTCCATCTGAGAGCCCCACAGTTTATTCACCGCAAGAGTGTTGATTCAAGGCCCGTGTGACCTTTAGGACACTTCTTCTCTGCAGATTAGGGGAAAGCTTCAGCGAGAAACTGTAGAGTGCTTTTTTCAAGACCCAAGTGGATGGCATCCAGGTAGTGCAGGAACCTGGGGGAGAGAACAGCTCAGTGTTTCCTTCATTTCAAGACACTGCATTTGTATAAATTGCATGCACGCACTGCTTTGCATCTGTTTGCACTTTAACACACTTATGTATGTGCTTGGTGTCAAACCCAAACCTGTACACCACATCCTGCCCACCATTAAACCTGAAGCTGCTGCACCCACTGACCAGCTCGCTTTCTGCACGCTCACCTTCGTTTAACTTTGCCTCGCTCCTTCAGCTGCTCTGACCTGCAGATGGTGCGTATGATCGGCAGATAGTCCAGAGCAGCTGCTGGTTTGTTGCCAAATGTTCCCTTCGCCATCAGACTCTCCATCACATCTCTCCTCCGCTGGACCAGCCTGGAAAAAAACAGCAAACATGAATTAAGCTGAACTGCTGAGGTTGAAGTGAATACTTTCTGGGTCACACTGAAGCACTGACTTTACTGTGTGACCCTTGATGAAGACTCACTGTGGCTGACAGGGGCTATGCTGGGTGAAGCTGTAACCGTCCTGCTGGGCAGCCACAGGGAGGGATAGTTCTGCTGCAGCCTCTCTTCCCAGCTCCCCTCCGATGTGTCGGGCTCCATCCCAGGACTCTGCTACTGAAGCCCGACACTTGTGGAAGCTCAGAGCCTCCACAGCCGCCTGGATCTCCAAGACGTGATCTCCTGTCATCCAGCTCCCTCCATCGGTCTCAACCCCCAACTCATCTGTCATCCCATCCTTCACGACGGCACAAGCAGGTCTTCTGTGAATGTCACCTCCATGTGGGTGGAACAGCAGGGACGAATCCATGTAGGACATGTTGTCAAAGAAGTCAGCTATGGATTGTAGACACTGTGAGACTGGGACGCCCTTCACCCGCTCTTCAGGAGTCAGTGGCTTCTTGCTTATTCTTTCTAAAACTGAAGCACCTTTGATTTCCTCTTTAGCCTGAGGAGCGTCCTGCAGCCTGCAGAGAGATAAAAATTCATCTTCTGAGTCAGAGTGCAGTGCATCCTGGTCAGGTAGATGGTGTCGCGTCTTGTTCTTCCTCATTCTGCTGGACACTTTGACTGGACTGCCATCCTCTGAGGAATCAGCACCACCTGTGCTGTGCAGTGACTTGGTGTTGGACGGCATTGTGTCCGGCTGCAGGCAGCTGAAGGACGGGTCTTGTGATACAGGAAAGCACTGCTCTGGTTTAAATGTGGAGGTAGTCAGCTGTGTGAGGGGCAGAGGCAGGAGTTTCTCCATGTTGGAATAGAGCAGGTCAACCCCGCGGCGGCGGCTGTCTGTCAGCAGCTTCCAGTCGACCGCCTCCTGTCCTGGACTCTGCTGAAACAACACAGACCACGTTATATGGTAGTTATTATCCTAAAGCAACTGCAGCTTGAAGTGCTACATAAAGTGAATCACCATCATTCATTCATCAACACAACGTCACATCATGTTGGGGCTTCTGCAATATTCTGCAAAGTGATTCCTCATAATGAAGTGTGTAGGTGGAAACCCACACTGAAATGTTGTGTGTTTTGTTTGCATTTCCAGGTCAACATACTGATCAGTTTGCTAAAATGATCTTTTCTCTCTCAGACTGAACACAGATACAGCATCCTCCTGTCTAACTCCATGGTACCGTTCATCTGTCTGGCTGAGCTCTCACTGAGCTGGACTCTAAAGACCATCTTCAAAACTAAATCCAAGAGGAATGGTGCATTTATCTGCTGCTGTGTAGCTACATATGTTTTAGAGGACTATTGGTGTTGTACATAATGCTAGCAGCAGCTGGATCCTTCTCTTTAGTGTGTCTGTGCAGCAGCAGGAAGGATTCAGAATACTGTGCAATGTAACACCAACACAAACTGTAAAACTACGTAACAAATACAGTCACGTGTTTCATTACGATGCATTTTCTGTGTTGAGCAGGTTTCAGGTAACTGAGTTGATTTTGATAATCAACAAAAATGAACTGTTTTGGATCAGCTTTTTAAACCCATACATGAACTTGTGTGAATTGTCAATAAACAGGATGAACTTTCCAGAGCTTGTCGATTTAGACTCCGTGTGTGATGTGCAGTTTACCCTGAGCAGCTCCCAGAAGTCTGCGTGTGGTTTGGTGTTCAGCAGGCCCAGCTTGTTCTCAGTGCAGCCGCTGTCACAAAGAGGCAGACTGGACTCATCTGCTGCCTCCTCCGGCTCTGGATTTAGCTCAGCTTTTAATACAAAATGAGGGGAAACACTTGTGAAAATACTCTACAAAAAAGGAAAAGGAGACTACTAAAGATGCAAAACCTGCCAGCGTTCTGACAACAAGCTCATATGCTTACCGCATTTGTCGATCTTCACTAATGGCTTTGCACTGCAGCGCCCTCCTGCGCTGCGAGTCCAGAACTGCAGCTGCAGTAAACTCTGCCTGATGTCACAGCTGTTGAGTTTCAGCAGAGAGCTGATGTCCGACGGGTCCGTCCTCACGTCCTCAGCCAGACACAACAGCTGCAGGTAGCTGCTAACATTCACCTGGAGCAGAGACACAGGAGGACAATCACAATGTTCAGCTGGAATCAGGCCACATTCAACAGACGATCAGGTTCAGGAATCCTGCTCTCACCAGTGAGGGTGTTTGGAAATGGATCTCTTCAAAGCTTCCATCAAACATGGTGCTGAACGCTGGATCTAAAAATCATACGAGATTTAATTTAAACTCCCGAGACATGACGGTGCATAAATACACAATGAGCTGCTCTGCGCTGAACCTCCCGCTTGTACTGACCGCTGGTGGTGAGGACGACTGGCCTCTTGGTTGTGCTCATGAATGTCTTGATGGCAGCTAGAAACCCCGAGTCATCGTCGAAAATAACATCCACTTCTTCAAACAGGATGAGCGATGTTGCCGTCTTCTTGCTCTGTTCCTCGCTGCTCTTCTCTTTAGGGGTGGCAGCTGATGAGGACGTGGCTTTCAGGTCTTTGTGCTTACTTCCACCCTCCTTTGCTTTCAGATCTTTCTTGGAAGCAGCTGTGAGAAGAGATGAGGGAGTGTGAAAGACTGGATGAAAACTTTTCATGGAGGCTACATCATCAAAGAAGGTCAAATGTTGCCCTCTGAATGTGTACTTACCATTTTTTTCATCTTTTGTAGTGTTAGGTGGCTCCTTGTTTGTGGGCGGACGCGTTTTAAAGAAGCTGGCTAAAGAGGTTGGCGCCAGGTTTCCTTTTTTAGCACCTCTTGGTGACTGGGGATGTTTCCTGGGAGAGGAAACCACCCTGCGAGGAGAGTTAAGCTTCCCTGAAAGATGAAGAGGACAGTTTATCTTGTGATGTTTCTTCTGGACACAAGCTCAAGCTGCATGAAACAGCCATTCCTCAGAACCAGTGTTCTCTGTACATACTTGGAGAAGATCCAGGCCTGACAGATGCAGCGCTGCAGCCATAGCTGCTGAAGTATGTGGGCTTGTGAGCGTTGACCCCCTGGCTGTCCACCTGGTGGGACTGAGTGGCTTCTTTCAGCTGCGACAGAATAAGACGGCCGCTTCGCTGAGATGAAGCATTCACCTCAAACACCTTTGGGGGGAATAAGGACAGTTATATCTATCCGTAGACCCAACGCCTCTTTTGAAATGCTTGTCACACCCGTGTACCTTGAAGCCCAGCTCCTGAGCACAAGCATAGACTGCAGCAGTCTTTCCTACTCCTGTGGGTCCTGTGATGAGCATCGTATTACACAACATGTCCTCTAAATCCTGGGAGTCGTCTTCTCCACAGTCCCAGTCCGAGTCTGCACACCAACAAACCATCATGGAGTCAAGACCAACATGCATCCAGCCAGCAGAAGGAAAGAAGATCAGCATTTTTCTCATTTCTCACCATTGCTGCCTTCCTCAAGTTTCTTGTCTTTCTGCTTTTTTCTCTCTTCTCGGTCTGCACGGAGTTTCCATTCCTTCAGCCAACTAGACAAACAAAAGAAACCTTGTAGTCAACAATTATGCCAAATACAGAGGTAAGTGTGTTACAGCTACAGGTGGATCTGCTCACCTGTGCAGCCTCCTCACTGAGGCGGTGTTGTCTACGATGTCGCTGGAGTGCTGCGGCTGATACTTGTCCGTCCACAGCACGTCCTCCTTCACCACATCTGTAGAGAAGAGCTTCAGGAGGTAAACTGGGGTTTTGTATTTGCACTAACCAACAGAAATCAGAGGGGAGCTGAAGTCAAGCTGGCCACACATCATTATTTCTCAGCTTGGCCAATCTTCTGATGGAACTTGTCCTAATTTATATACATAATATCAGCATTAAACGATTCAAACCACATATTTTGCCGCCACACCTTTTTTTCCAGCATCTTCGCCCAAAAGCTCATCATCCAGCACGAGGACAGAACCCTCTTCAGCCGGGATGGGAGCAGGTTTGAGTGACGGCTTTGCCTTCTCCTTCACCTCCTCCTCCAGCCTGGACCTCTGAGCTCGTCTCATACGGCTTCCCCTTCTTGTCGGCTCTGGTTCAGCCGTGGAGATGCTCTCTTCTGATTGGTTAGATCGCTGCTTCTTAGCCGCCTTCTCTGTACAATCATCTTCCCTCCGCTTCCTCTTCCCTCCCGCCGGTTCAGCTGGACGTGGGGTGCTTGCAGCTGTGGTTACAGCCTCTGGTTCTAGGAAGTAAACATAGTGGATATATTTCTGATCTCATTCCATAATCTAATGCTTCACCATTTTAAATTACTTGTGAATATTTACAGGTTGAACAGTGGATGCACTTAAAAAGGTGACTGAGCTTATCAACCTAGAATAAACTGCTACCTGCTCCTCAGATACCGACCTGAAGCCGTGAACTGCTGCTGATGCTCGGTGCGTCTCTTCAAGAAGCGAGTGATGAACTTCTGTGCAGGGAAGCGAGGGTTAGAGGTGCTGAGCTCCTCCATTAGAAGCTGACGGATACTTTCAGAGATCTCCGGTCTCCAGCCTGAACCCTGAACAGAGAAAGAAAACACAACGTGAATGTCCGCCGTAGTTTTTACAGTGTCCGTCTTTTGGTCATTTATCCCAGACGAAGATGAAAAAGAAAAAAGCATTCAAGTGTGAGTTTTTCTGTACAGTTAATGCAACACAGCCCAATGAGCAGACAGGCAACAGCTACTAATAAGACCAACGTGTCATAAGGTGGGAGGGGTTGAGCTTGGACAATTATTTCAACATACCCTTTGACAGAAGCTCCTACAGGCAGATTCGGTCTTCACACAAAAGGAACCGCTAACAGATGGAGGCCGTTTGGATGTTCGGTCACAAAACTCTTTCAGAGGACACAGCACTGAAGACTCCGGCCACGGCAGACTCCAAAGAGGACAATCTGTGAAAAAACACGACAACTTTGCATTCTTGGCATGTAC